GAACCCCTCATGTATATCTGTTGCACTGTATGGGAAACATAATTCTTTGCTCCTCAATCTCCTAGCAAAACTTTACTGTGTAAAACCAGTACCAAATTAATGTGTACAAATTTTTAAGAACAGCTTAGATATCCGGCAAGGGTAAAAATTAAGAATCATAAAGAATGAAAAATCCTCCCCATTACATAAAGAGTCCTAAGACCTCTGCTAAATTTAGGTGTTACTTTTGATGAATGTCGAAAACAAGACACACACAAAAAAGATGGCTTTCAAATTACTCAAGAGCTGGGCAAAACTCTGAACCTTCTTTGGGCCTTTTGTTTCTGGTTGGCGTTTTTTCAGACAGGAAGGGCGGGAGAGAAGCGCTCACCAGGTCCTTCATAGAGCTCTACTGCCACCATGAGGATTGAGTTTCACAACTCACAGTGCCACGGAGCTAAGCTTCCTCCCATGATTCTTAGCCATGGCGGAAGATGGCGATTACAAGACAACTAGAAGCCCACATGGGCTTACTCGACTTCTCCTCATGCCCCAACAGAAATACAGACCGTTCAGTTTTCTCACCAGAACCTGGAGGAGGCTCCTTTGTGCCCCAAGATATGAGCTGGTAGATTCAATTTGCGATCTGTGTAGTGCAAACCACGCCCCTCCAGTTCCTGCTCCTTGACATCAGGACATCTGGGCACTAGTAACTGGGCCCTCACTCAATAGGGTTTACTCTAAAAGGGCTCCTCATTCCAGAGAATCCCTTGAAAAGTCAGTCCAGTAACTGAGTGAGCCTTGCTTTCTTTGTTCCCTATTGGGGAGAATGCTGCACTCTGAGAACTTAGCTTCTATTTTTCATTTATATCTGTACCTGCATTGGACCTAAGTATCAAAAGACAAAAACAAGCCCATAGATAGATACATAAGTAAATGGATAAATAAATACATCTCAAACAACGCAAGAAATAAGTAAAGAGAGATGAAAAGTGAGATCTGAGGCAACCACCTTCCTCTTTCACCTTCTCTTTGGAAGAAGTCAGTGTTCTGTCAATGGTCCAATCTTGCATTTCTCCTGGTCTGCACCCAGGAGCTTCTCCATCCAGTGCTTGCTCAGGGTGGCTGACTGCTTTCTGGTCTCAAGTCATAAAACTAGGCATCCAGTTCTAGGTAGGAAAAAAAAAATGCTGTCACGACAGTGCTTGAAGGAAAGCAAATCTAATTGTTATTATCTACCTGCACACCGCAACTTCCCTGGCTATCATACACCACTGGAGATCTACACAAGAGATATAGAAAAAGGGCCTGTGTGCCCAGTGGGAGGCTGGGCACACCGAATGCTGGACAAATCTCTAGAAGGAGAAACACGTGTGTGCATTGAAATGTCTCTGGTTTCCAACTGGATATATCACGGAGTTTCTCTCAGGGCTCCTTCCTATCCCACTGGAACATAGGCGGCCCACTGTTCTTTCCTATAGCTTAACTGCATACATCTTTTTATACTGTACTGTTTATCATACTTTAATCTTACACTTTCCCTTGGCAAAAAAAGACATGGAACTTTGAGAGGAGCTTGGCCTACATAATGTGTTCCAGCGTCGCTTAAGCTGGCTGCTGAGATTCTGCCTCAGTGGTTCTGGGTTTGCAAGAGTTCACCAACCTATCTGTATGTCACAAACATACTTGTTAGATTAATGTAACTAATGTACTTCTTAGATTAATGCCACTTTGACACTAAGTTATGAGATCTAGATGCTGGATATTGGTTATTTTAAGATCATTTTGGATTCGTCAGTCTATCAAAATGACCTTTAGGGTCAAGCATTCCACTTCTGCACAATGGTCATTAGGACAATGAGGTCTGCCACAACACTGAAAATCTCTTCTGGTAATATGGCCAACTTAACTATAGTTAGCTTTCCATCCTACAAGCATGGAATGTATCTCTTGGTCATGTCTGTCACCTTCAAATCTTTTGGCAATATTCAATCATGTTCACTGTATTACCCTGTCATATCTTTAAGTATTGCCCTAAGTATATCATTGACATTGATGTTATTTTTAAAAACACTGCTTTGTTTATTCTCCTCTCTTTCCTTCCACGGACAGGCTGACAGCATGTGTCTAAGGCTAGGCCCCAATGCACTGTCCTCCCACCAACCCCTAAACTCCTTGGTCCTCAACTTCCTCATGCATGTAAAACCACCAAAAGGCATCATTCTTCCCAGGCCCTCCAAGCCTCTAAACAACTGGCAGCTCCTGGGGTCTGTTCCTGCCTCACTAAGGACTAGGCCCCGGCCTGGCCTTGATGTTCTCACGCCACTGCCATGGGATGGCCAACCCATGTACTGAAATGACTACGAATTCCAACTGGAGAGATGACTGGTGCTCAGGGTTTCACCATGTCACACTGGGGCACAGGCACAAGCATTTCCCACATTAGCGGCCTACCGCTATTTTCCATAGCTTAACTGCATCCAAATGCTAGTGTTCTCACGCCTCATTGTGTCCTGTACTTGAAGCCTTATACTTTCCCTTAGCAACGAAGACGTGGAACTCTGAGGACCTTGGGTTGCATAATGTGTTCCGGGGTATACTGGGCTGGAGTGTGAGATGTTGCCTGTTAGTAAGAGGACACTACTTAAAATCCTGCTGACTCATACTACAAGGAGCAGGAGACAGGCGACCAAGAGTTCAAAGTCCATGCCCCAGATAAAAGGACCAGAAGCCCAAAGGGCAACTTCCTGTATGCTAGTCTAAGCACCTGCAGGTCATCTGTTGGCCCCTTACACTTCATTGTTAACACTAAGATCATACTGCTGTCCAAGCTTCTCCTCTTGCCTTAGGGAACAGGCACTGGGCCCCAAAGTCTAAGCCAGGTGTATCCTTCCAGGAATTCTTTCCCCACTGCTAGACTCACGGGAATGAAAGTGTAAGGTACCTTGTGTACTGTAATTCTTCCAGTATGGCGGCAATAGTACTCCATAGACAGTCACAAGGGCCACCCTTGACTGCTTTATGCCCGCCCTCCAAGCCTAATAGTGATTCTAATAATAATCAGAATCAGAATTGAGAGACAAAGGCCTGGGAACGTGATAGGTTAGCATTTTGTAATTGGTAATTTTCCACTGAACCTTATCCGTTCAGACCTGTTTAACTTCCCTTGAAGTTAACCTGTGCTTCAAGGGCTAAACTTGGTGGATGAAAGCAGAGAAAAGAGAACTCTGAAGCCTATAAATCCTCTCTAGGACACAATTTACAAATGCCAAGTGTTTTGTTTGTTCTCAAAACAAAAGTCCCGGCCTAGGACTTCCTGTGTCTGTATGTCCTGGAAGCTTTAAGACCCTGGTACACCGGCCTCTCGTGTTCCAGGTTCTACACAAATAGTTCTTGGGTTCGGAACATACTTAGGGCCCTAGAAATACACCTGTGCCTAATGAACTATCACTAACAAAATATGCCTATGCCTAAAGAAGTATGCCTACAGCGGGCTCAGCATTGAATACAGTCAAGAAGCTGTTCGTTGAATCTCTGAAACTGTGGCCGCATGATGGCAGTAGTGCTCCATAGAGCGCCAGCACCGCCATCTTAGCCGCCTCCTCTCCCGCCCTTCTTAGTCTGAAAAAAACAAAACCGCCATTTCGAGACCAAAAAATAAAAGCCAAGAAATTAGACCGTCCTCCATCTTGTCGAAATCAGTGGAGCCCGTTACTAGAGCAGCCATTTCACTTTTGTTTTCCTTCTCAGCCAAATTAAGGACTAAAACCACTCAATTCCGGACGGACTCTGGCCTTTTCTCAAGGTAAATTTCCACCGCGGTACCTGTCCAGTAAATTGGCCACCGCAACTCACTAGGTAGACCTAGCCAGCAGCCGAGAACTCACCAAAATCTGCCAGATCCAGCCACTCAAGTGCTGGAATTAAATCACGCTGCTATTAGCTATGCCACCAGACTAGGCACCTTTTCTTTCCTAAAGAAACTAGCAAGTTTGCAGAAGCGCCTCCGGGTATTTGTGCATATGCCTACTCCTCCCCTGCCTATCCCATCTCAAATATATATATATATATATATATATATATATATATATATATGTGTGTGTGTGTGTGTGTATGTATGTATATATGTATATATATATATATATTAATCAGAGACAAAGGCATCAAGAAACATGGAGGCTGCTTTACGTTTGACTTGTTTAGACAAACTCACACAGTAAATTCTTAGTTTCTGTTTGAAACCAAATCAAGGACTACCTCACTACATTCTCAGCAATAGTCTTGATTCCTTGGGATTATATACTACCATTTGTTGCTTTGTCTTTGGCAACTCAAATTATCAGCTTGTTGCTTTATGAGCAAATCTTCGTAAGCCTGGCCTAAAAGAAATAAAGAAATTCAGAAAAATCAATGGCAGAAATAGGCCATCTGTAAGCATCCTGGCTTGACTTACTAATATTAATGACAAAATTACTTTGATCATTGTTAAAACAGCCAAGATTATTGTTACAGGAATTTTTCAATGAGGGAAGAAATAAATCAGGCTCAATCCTGAATTCAGCAAAGGCAGCTGGGGATTCACAGTCAAGGAGTTAAAGGAGGGAGGGAGAGATGGGCAAGGAAAATAATGTGTAGGGGAGGTCACGGGGTGGGGGAATATGTTGTTCAGTAAGCAGGGAGAACATGGACACAATCCCCAGCATAGCAAACCAAGTATGGTGACACATCACTGTAATCCCAGGATAAGGTAGAGGGACTCCTGTCTCAAACAACAACAAAAGGAAAAAAAATCAGAGAATTAATTTTTTAAAAATAAGAAGCTTATCACAAAGTACCGATTTGCTTCCTAGAAGGCATTCTCAGATACCTTTCTTGGGTGCCATGTCACTCTGAGCAGTAAATTTCTCAAATATATATAAATCACAAGCAAGAGTTGCTCAAACTTTGTCTCATGATCTTAACACAAGTACTTCCTTATAGATATTGAAAGGGATAACAAATAATCCTTACCAGCTAGTCCTATCTACATCAGAAAAGCAGACTGAGATGTAAAACAGTTTTCTGTTGTTTATGGTTGGCTAGAACACTGGATCACTTAGTCTTCCATCTTCTGAAAACAAGATATAATATTTAGGAAGAAAAGTGTATCGCTCATTTTCTAAGACGTAGAATCTGAGGGGAACAAGGGCCAGAGAGGTATATGGGGGATTACTAGGGAGCAGAAAAAGGATAAGAGATGAAAAGTTAAGGGATTGCGGATGTATTTAATCGAAGCATGCTAAAAGTAAATGAAAATGTCACAGGAAATTTATTATCCTGTACAATTAATTTACATTTTAAAAAATCTACATTTAACTTAATGATCAGTCGGAAACTAGCGAAAGGATTCCTAACACCACAAATAACAGAAAAGTATTCATTTCTCAAAACTACTGAGTGGAGGCCTGAAGATAATGAATGTCGAAAAATGAAATAAAAAAAAATTAGTATTATTAAAAACATGTACAATACTACTAATAATTATTTTAGTTAGAACCTCATAAAAAAAGTACCAAGATCAACTAGGAAGAAATGGTTTGATCAAAAAGATACTAAAGATATGAATTTTACTTCAGTTATCTCATTGATGCTACTCCAGTTCATCATTGCAAACATCCTTGAAAGAAAAACTTTTGTGTTTGTTTGATGTTAATATTAGCACTGCTTCTTTCCTTGTAATCTTCTACTTATTGGCCCCAAACCAAATTTTTAATTTTTGGGCCGAGGAAATGAATGAACTCAGATCCTGAGGCCAACTTGGCCTCTAGGCCTTCTCCAATTGCTCTCCTTGTTCAAGGCAATGAGATAGACTTTCGCTGTGTCCATATACCTGAGCAAGCACATATGCTGCTTTAAAATCACACGTCCAAATGGGCACTAGGTGCTACGTTCCTGGAAGCTGGGAGGTGGAAGCAGAAAAGAGCAGGATTAAGAGCTTGGCTACATTAAGTTCCTGGGCAGCCTGGACTCAGTGAAAGCTGCCAAAACAAACAAATCCACGGAGTTGGGGAGTTGGCGGGTAACACTTTCACTTAATCGGTTTCTTATGCTGTAACGCAACATAATGAAAAGGTAAAATAAAGGAATAATACAGACAACAGGTTAAGGCCTGCTAGGCTCAAGGCTTCGG